ATATCGGTATCGGACAATTCTCAAAGTTGTAATATCGGTATTGTATCGGAAGTGAAAAAGTGGTATCGGGACATCCCTACAATTTATACTGTTTGAACTTTAAAAGACCCAACCTTTTGTAATGGCTGCAGTTAGGGTGGTCTTGCCATGATCAACGTGGCCAATTGTTCCAATGTTCATGTGAGGTTTTTCCCTGGTGTATGTCTTCTTAGCCTCAGCAGCAAAGGTGCGCTGATTGAAGGGCACAGCACACTACACATACAAAAAACAAAAACCTGAACACACAAATCCCAGCAGAACTATCTGAAACCAGCAGTTTGTCAGCATACGTACCACTTTGATTGAGGTCTGAAGCAAGCGGGGTGGAGAAAGCTTAAGGACTGAAAACAAAAAAATAAAATAATACTGACTTAAATATATTATTGAATGTTCTTTTTAGATCCTCGTCATTTTTACAACAATCTACTGAAAAATATCTTCAAACGTAATTRGCTGCATCAGAAAAGATTCTAAATATTAAAGAGGACTGGACCTTTCAGAYTTTAAAGTGCAATCGTTTAACACACACTAAGTCAGTGCACATGACGAAGCTGAAATTAGCTTCCGATTCCAGCTTCCGATTCGGGAAATGACTAAAGGGATATTACAACTAATTTTTCACTACCTTGCACGTGTTTAACCTGCTCTAGCTCAAAAACTACAACACCTACACTCTTCAAACCAGGACTAGATTATTCTACACTAATAGAAGAATATTTAAAAACATGTTTGGGATTTGGGAAAGCTTTGTCTGATTTGTGAAACTTCTACAAAGTTTGTTTTTCATTGTTTTTATGCAACTGGACCACATTAGATCTGGTCCAGCTCAAAAACCACAACACCTGGACTCTTCAAACCAGGACTAGATTATTCTAGACTAATAGAAGAATAATAAACACTAAGCTTGAGCTTTGGGAAACCTTTGTCTGATTTGTGAAACATCAATAAAGTTTGTTTTTCATCGTTTTTTAGGCAACTGGACCACATTAGATCTGGTCCAGCTCAAAAACCATAACACCTGGACTCTTCAAACCAGGACTAGATTATTCTACACTAATAGTGGAATGTGTAAAACTAAGTTTGAGCTTTAGGAAACCTTTGTCTGATTTGTGAAACATCAATAAAGTTTGTTTTATTATTCTTCTATTAGTGTAGAATAATCTAGTCCTGGTTTGAAGAGTCTAGGTGTTGTGATTTTTGGGCTGGACAAGATCTAATGTGGTCCAGTTGCCTAAAAAACGATGAAAAACAAACTTTATTGATTTTTCACAAATCAGACAAAGGTTTCCCAAAGCTCAAACTTAGTTTTACATATTCCACTATTAGTGCAGAATAATCTAGTCCTGGTTTGAAGAGTCCAGGCGTTGTGGTTTTTGAGCTGGACCAGATCTAATGTGGTCCAGTTACCTAAAAAATGATGATAAACAAATTTTGTTGATGTTTCACAAATCAGAGAAAGCTTTCTCAAATCCCAAACGTGTTTTTTAAATATTCTTCTATTAGTGTAGAATAATCTAGTCCAGATTTGAAGAGTGTAGGTGTTGTAGTTTTTGAGCTAGAGCAGGTTAAACACGCGCAAGGTAGTGAAAAATTAGTTGTAATATCCCTTTAGTCATTTCCCGAATCGGATGGATAAAACAAAACGAACTCCATAACATCTTTTTATTTGGATATCTGGGCCGGAAAACCCAAGGTTCAAATCGTGGAACATCTGCAACTGAGAAGTATGAAATCAAAGCTTGTTTTTTGTAGATTAGTCACTAATAGTTCTACAATAGAAATACAAGAAAATATATTATTTCGGTCTTCATCGGCATTAGCTTTAGCTAAACCTCTTGTAACGTGACCTTGCGCCGGTATCGGAAGAAGCCAACCTTCCTTGTTTAGTTTTATATTTCTGCAATTCAAGCAACTTCGTGCACTACTTGTGACATTAAATATATATATATATATTGTTTCTACTTGACAGGCTTGCATGAAGCCATAAAAAGTCGTACAGTAGAAAAGAAAAAAATATATTTTACCAGAGAAACATGCACGCATCCCAACAAGCAACGCCATCTTGGATGGTTAAACAAACCAAAGAGGATGAAAATGACCAAGAAAATACTCTGACTACCAACAACGCTGTCGCAAGCCASGAACTGAAATCCTGGCGCAGATTAGTTTTTCTKTGGAAGAAATCTATTCTTTCTTCTGAAATTTGTTGACATACAGCACATTTGATTTGATAAATATGTAAAGATTTAAATGTTGTATACATTTCGAAAATGCCATTTAGGTACAATAAATATATTGCTATCATGAAACCAAATAAAATGAAGCCTCCTGTTGTTATCATTATGATCATCATTATTAAAGATTTCAACTATAACAATGTATTACATTACACACATRTCCATGCCTGTTTAAAGAACAAAAGTCAGGGGTTCATTTCAAACCTACTTATAATCTTTGTAAATTACGCATCAACTATGACGAAATTACATTAACTATCCTAATATAATAAAGTTTACGAACATGGCTTTTCTTTATGATTGTTATATCAATTGTGTTTTAGGTGTACATTAATTTTTTTAAATAGCAGAAATTAGTTATCACAAGTAAACACTAAAATGAATAACACAGACCGTAGAAAAGGTGAATGGACACTTTTTGAGTGCCCGTTGGGTTCATCCTTTACGGTAAAAGCATGGCGACAGACTCATGCTGTTCGTGAGCTAGCTAGAAAGTTCTAGCTCTTCGTGTCTGTGTTCATATAAAGAGAAAACCGTGTAGCGCACAGAGGATCAACGATTTACATACCATTGGTGGGATATTTAACAGGTACGTATATATTTTTGTTCATTCGATTTTCTGTGTTGACTCGCTGACTTGTAAAAGTAGTTTTCTACTGATACAACTGCAGCCCAGAGGAATCAACACAGTCAGACATCACCATGTTTAAACCTTTTTAGGAATAATCTTAGCCATCTTTATTGTTAATAATGCTATTTATAGAATAAATTTGTCTTACTGGAGTTGTTTCTTTGCCTGGTTTAGTCATGTCAGGAAACAGGCAGAACAGGAGATACCCCCAGAACCTTCAGGGTGTCCTTCAGCTGGCAGTAGATGCTGGTTCTGCAGCAGAGGGTCCTGCTCCTGTAGAGCCCATGTCAGAGGAGGTAAGTTTTTCCAGCTTTTAACCCTGCCTTAGAAGATACTTCAGCTAATGAAAGGAGCTGTGCAGTTAATTTTATTTCCTCCAAACGTGTTTATGAACAATACATTGCTGAATGTAGCTCTGACACAAATCATCAGCCTAAACAAGTTCATGATTATTGAACGTGTGTGTGACTCAAACATCTGTCATCAGCGGATTTTAACTCCATCTTGCACGTTTTGTCTTTGCTCCAGAGGAAGACGTGGCTGAGAGAAGCTCTTTCAGAGGTGTGCAAAGGCCAGATGGATGAGGTGGAGCAGATGAAGCAGTGTCTGGTGGTTCTACGCAAAGATGAAATGGGTGAAAAAGATCAAGATGATGGGGATGACGATGACGAAGATGAACGGGAATCGGCCTTTGAGATGTTGTCTGAGTTGTGTGAGAACCTGGACAATGCTAGAGGTTTGTGACCTTAGACTTGATATCCCTGCTCCGAAATCATTAACTCAGACATGCGAGTTAGATTATGGATGAACGTAATGGATGCTGATTTAATCTGTTTCTGCACTTTACAGATTTTATGATTCTCGGAGGGCTGGAGCTATGCGTCTCCAGGTATCTGTGTCATATCCAGAGCGGGCTGAGGTGGCGGGCCGCCCAGCTCATCGCCTCCTGTGCTCAGAACATGCCACAGGTGCAGGACCACCTGCTGCAAATCCAGGTGCTGCCAAAGCTGCTGCAGCTGACCGACTCAGACCCAAATCCTACCGTCAGAGTAAAAGCTCTGTATGCTGTTTCATGTGAGTTGATCTTCATCAAAGACGTGTAGAAACATAGCTTCAGAAGTCAACTAAATGTTGTGATGTCAGTGACCAGTTTCCTTCAGACGTCTCAGATCGTTTGAAGTGTTGTGGCAGCACGTTTTGGCCCGTGTGTGTGTGCTGTGTTGCAAATAATCATCTCTTCGCTGTTTTACTGTAGGTCTGGTTCGAGAGCAGGAAGCTGGGCTCCAGGTGTTCGTGGCTCACGACGGCTTCTCGGTGCTGATGAGAGGCATGCAGTCAGAAAACGAGAAGCTCAGGACCAAGTCTGCATTTCTTCTGCTCAGTCTGCTGACCTCGCACCCTGAACATAAAGGTACGAAGTGAAGGACCTCTTTAATTGGACGACTCTTTAAAGGGATCCATGATTAGTTGTAACATTAGACTTTATTTGATAAACATATTTTAACTGTAAAGTAAAGACTGTAAAAATACTGTAGGCTGTTTTTAGTTTAGAAAATTTTTAAATATATATTTTAACACGGACAGAGCCATTTTATTTACATACAAAGATTCTGGGTAAATGATGACGTGGATAGGTCCTCGGTGTGAGCGAGCTATCTGAAGGTTAATCTTGGACAATATCTGATGATCAACTCTTTTAAATGAAACCAGAGAGCGTTGACAGAGAGGAGAAGGTAGAAATGACTCAGCCTGTAACTGAAAATATGGATGGAGGACAACAGAGCTGCTTCATGGAAGAAGAACCTCAGCTTAGCCTGTTAGCCTTTGCTCTAGTGCTGACGCTATATGTATTTGCTCGGCGCTAGCGTGGCAAACAAGCTAAACTGAGGTCCTCCATCCATATTTTCAGTTGCAGGCTGAGTCATTTTTGTGTTCCCCTCTCTGTCATGTGGATGGAGGACCTCAGTGACGAGAGGAGAATGTGTAGCACTGAGCTAATACATATATATGGTGATAGCATCGGGGCTAACGCTAAAGCTAACAGGCTAAGCTGAGGTTCTTCTTCCATGAAGCAGCTCTGTTGTCCTCCATCTATATTTTCAATAGAAACTTTTAGTTTAAAAATGATAAAACCTAAACATCCTACGGTGTTTTCATTTTACAGTTAAAATATATGTTTATCAAATAAAGTCTAAAGTTACAACTAATCATGGATCCTTTTAATGGACTGAACCACACTATAGACTTTATAGTCTATAATGAACTTATCCCAGATTTCCTGTCTTCATGTTAGGGCTGCCACAAACGATTATTTTTATAATCGATTAATCACCGATTATTTTTTTCGATTAATCGACTAATCGGATCATACGTTAATTGAATATAAAACATACAGCTTATTGCGCCAGAATGCAGCTGCTATTGTATAACCATGGTTAGATTTTAGCTATATGCTAACTAAAAATAATTACTGCGGAAGGCAAGTTCTGCTCTGCAGATATTGCACAGGTTTCTTTTTCATTTTCTTAAAATGATCCCACACTTTTGAGCTCTGTTGCTGGGTAGCCATGATACTAGAGCCTGTCTGTATAATGTCTTGTGACGTCCACGGCCTACCCCAGTTACCACTACTGTGCATGTGTGTCAAGGACAGAAAGGCAGATGTGGCAGTGGAAGGTGTCAAAGCAGTTTGGAGAGAAAAACAAAGTAAAGAACAACAGAAAAAAAGAAAACAATTAATCGATTTATTAAATTAGTCATCGATTATTTTAATAATAGATTAGTCATCGATTAATCGATTAATCGTGGCAGCCCTACTTCATGTACACTTGTGTGTTTTTGCACATGGGATATTGTCAGTGATATTCCTGCATTTGTCTTCTAACAGAAACTGTTGTCTCCATGGGGATGGTGCAGCAGCTCGTGTCTGTTCTCCGCGCACCACATTCACCTTTCCATGAACACGTGCTGGGTGCTCTTTGCTGGTAAGAAACCTCTTTTGCCTGATGATTTTTTGATGCTTGAACAGCAGCGTTTGAAGACAGGAAATGATGAAATTGGTATTTTGAGTTTGTTATTGAAAAAAAAAGATAAATTGGGATAAAAAGAGTCTTAAGTACCTCAAAGTTGGGAAAAGATTTAATGTGGTTAAGTTGGATGTAGCATCACAGTTCTCAATTTCCATCATTGTTCTGGTTCTAGTTTGGTTGAAGATTTCCCACAAGGACTGAAAGACTGCAGGAACCCTGCTCTGGATCTGGAGGAATTACTCAAACAGCGAGCCAGTGATCTTCAAGGAAAGGATGAAAGTCAGGTAGATAAAACCTGCTAAACTGATCTTTACACCTCAAATGTGACCCATCACTTTGAATCGAGAATAAGTTGAAAAGTGGTATGCAGATATAATGTTTTGTTTAAAACATTTGCAGCAATAGCATTTTGTCAAAATATAATGAATAAATATCTAATCTAAGGGTCATTTCAGTGAAGTATCTGAAATATAATCCTAACCTCTTCTTAAACAGGAAACAGAATTTTTTGAAGCCCTTTTTTGAGCAGTAGCTACAAAAAATGATTTTGAGCAGAAAACCCTTCACTTTTTGTCATTTGTCCTGTGAACTGGCAAAGTGTTTTTTTCTTCTTTCCAGAGTATTCAAATATTGATTGAGGTATTCTTTTTAAAAGGACATCAACAATTCCTCATTACAATAACCTAAAAATAGGATTCAGACCAAATATCAATGAGTTATTCTGATTAGGAAAACAAATCAAGCTGTATCTTTGAAACCACTCATGATATCAGGATGATCTGGACATCAAAGTGTAGCTTTAACAAGCAGGAATCTGAAAAGGTGCTTAGGTCATTTTAACCTAATTTGACTCTGTCTTCAGTTTATTGTGATGGGTCACAAATAGGATTGTGTTTTAATGCTTAAAAAAATCACAGATAAAATACCTTCCAATAAAACTTAACTTATAGTAGTATCTGCTTAAAATGTTCTGTACTGTCTTGTGTCTAACCTTATTRCAGTTCTGCCCTCTGAAGTCATGTTTTTGTTGCCAACAGGAAGAGTTGGACTTCTGCGARCGTTTGAGAGTTCTGTGTTTCAGTGGGCAGCAGTCCGAAGACGTTGGGATGGATCGCTAAAGCAAATTTTTGTTTTTTTTATTTGTTTTTTTAACTTATGTATTTTTTTGCATATGTACAAAAAAATGCAACAGAACGTTGATGAGTTAAATTGTGGATGCAGAGTGATGTTTATGTCCATTTTTGACAGTTGCTGTTTATATTTTGCATGTAATCCAGGCGCAGGATTTTACTGAGTAAATAACTGCTGTATAAAGTTATTTTTCAAGTCAGCTGTTTTTAATTTGTCTCTTAAAGATATTTATTATATCTTTGTAACAGCTAGTTTTGATGTTAAAATACGTCCAAATATCAGTTTAGATATGTACATATCTGAATTTTAATTGTTGTAAAGTTAAGAAAAAAGACATAAATTCACAAAAATCCAGTTATAAATACAATTATTTACTGTAAACAAAAGAAATTCTTTCAATGGCTTGTTCAAAGCATGCCACTACATGTATGAGTTACACATTAATGTTTTACAAAAACATGTAACTATAAATCATAAAATATAACCATTACACACTGATATATGCTGAATGTTTTAGTTATGTCTGTAAAGATGCGTAGTATTTTTAAATGAGAATTAAAAAATACAAATTGGAAGCTCCTGGGTTTACTTTTTTCATCTTTTCCATTTGTAAAACTAAACTTAGACATGACTAGATCAATATTGCTTTGGTAGAAGGTAGTTTACAAAAACAGCTAAGGCACCGCTGAAGTCCCGCAGGGATCCTTGTTAGGACCGCTTCCATTTTGAAAAGTCGTCTTTATTCTCCACTGCTTTTATATCGCCCACAGCAATCAGTAGCTGTGCCAAATAATACGTCACCATAACGACAAGCTGACCATGCTGCATTGGTGGCAACACTTTAAAGACCTGCAGAGCGAGGCACACGTCGGACACTACGAAGGTCAAACTTCCCAGCAACGTCACCATACGGCGGGTTCTGATCGCTAGGACACCCATGACGGTGATCAGGACGACGTAGATCCCCACGCCAGGCGTCAGGAGGTCGGAGTCTGGTGCCCTCCGCAGGAATGGAAACAGATAGATGTAGAAAACTCCTCCTGTCATTACCAGGAGCAGATACAGAAAACGGGTCCAGGAGGACGAGGAGTATGTTGTGTAACGGCCAGATAGGAAAGTGAGCGAGTAGAGCAGATGAGCCACAGCAAATGCTCCCATTCCTAAAGAAAAATTAAAATCAACATTTAGTATGGAATGCTCAGTTTAGAAGTGTAGAGGCCATACTTTATGTTTAACAACGGACCTAATTCTCTTTGAAGCAGTTTAATTTGCATCTATCCACTGGTTAGTTATGCAAAAACAGCTCTTACCATGAATGAACAGCTCAGGCCACACCAAGCAGCAGTCACCGACGGCAGAAAAGACAAGTCCTCCTGCCACACCTAACGCACTCTGACCTCCGTTCCAACTCAGCACCACTGCAGCCAGCAGGAGAGTTGGGGCACATTTGACACCTGCAGACATGACTGATGGAGCCGAGTCAGGAGTCAGAAGGTAGAAATATAAAGCCGAGGACAAAAAGAAAGGCAAGAGAGAGAAAAGAAGAGCACAGGACTGGGAAAGAGAAACAAATAAATACAAAGAAGAGGTGAATGAAAAGTGTTTGCGTAACTTGAATTTGAGTAATTCTATTCTTTATGAGCACAAAGCAATAATTGACAAGACAATTCAGGCAAAAATGAATAAACTGTACCACATTTCTCTTCTGCCGCCTGTCGTAGGCGTGTGTCTCAAGAATATCCATCTCTGCTCTGTTTGATGGAACCGTCCTGTTTTCAGTCTCCTTTTCTGCCTTCGCTGCCTCCGTACGTCCTGCTCCTGTTCCTCTCGTCTCTAACCTCTGCTGCCTCTTCACTCCCTTACATTTCCACCACAATGAACTTTAGACTAATTTCCGCCGTCTGATTGTGCTCTGATAATCAATGTCTTCCCAGATTCATGTTCTCATGGACAAACGTCTGACCTTTGACCTCTGCACCAGTAATATGCTGATGACAACAGCAGCCAGGAGGGCAAAGTCAAATGACAGTGTGTGAAATAGCTAAAAACTTAAATACGACAACCTGTGCTTGACCTTTGAACTTAGGTGAGCTGCTTTTTGGTGCTGAAACATGCTCAGATTTTTGATGAAACTAATAAAAGCAACAGTTTCACCCGAAAACATTCTGATGTCAACGGAGAGTTTAATACTTCTGCTCAGGGTCAATTATTACAACAAATTATATTTATCRCCCGTCATCAAAAGGCAGCGTTGGAAGACACTGTTTGTTTTTGTGTGTCTGTTAGCGAAATATCTCATGAAGCATCGGGACACATTTGAATGAGATTGATWTAAAGCAGCCACTGGATGTTCATTTACAATTAATTATCTTTCGAAATCTTTCTGATTTAAGATGGCCACTCAGCTAATCAACATTGTCCAACACAGACATGGAGCTAAAATTTGATGTGGTAGTAGCTGAGAGTCACTCACAACACACACTCTGAGCGTGACGTCTCTTTTTATTACATGTGAATATGCATAGACTTGACCAAAATAGGTTTAATTCTAACATTTTTCAATATGATGATCTACAGTGGTGGGTAACATGACTTTTTCCAAGAAATGTTAAGCTTTTATTTATGTGGATGCTTTTGATTTTTCTTAACTGTATAATTATAATATATAATGAGATATATTTTAGGGGCTGCATCTCATTCTCAATAAACAGCTCCAAAAACATCTAAACCTAATCTTCTTAAAAATAAAATTCAGCTGTCTTCATTGACCAGAGTCACAAATGGTAAGATTATTTTTTTATAATTCTGACAAGAACATAGTCCCTATAAGACAAAACAAGCTGTTAAAGGGTCAGGTTTTCTTCACAAATTAAACAAAACCATTAAAATATGTATAATTTCTAATTTTTTTAGTGTTGTTTTGGCCTCTGTCGCTGGTCTGGAACTGAAATCTAGTTGTGTTAAGAAGAAACCCTCTGTCTAATAATTTCAGAAACAGGTAATGATTAACCAAGGCCTCTCAGATTCAAACTTTGTACTACGCTTACCCATAATTCCTAGAGTCGTGGCCGGTTTTCGCTCTTCATGGTGGAGACATAGACCTGCAGGTGCACGACTATCAGGTGAGCAGGGCAATAAATACAGATTGTTACACCAGTGAAGAGGCGGTTTGGGGATATCAGCATGTGTTTGTACTTATATGGATTTTCCTATTATCTCTACACAGAACATGGAAACCTGTTTCTCCACTCAGAGAGTTGGAGTTGTAGGATATGGACATCTAGGTCTGAAGTCCTCCATCAAACCCCAAACACACACTGCTGTATAAATGATTATAATGTTTGATAATAATATGTGGGTGGATGTGTGATTCAGGGCAGTATCTGGTGGACAGGATCCTCAAAGATGGACCTGATCTCGGTCTGATCCTGGGTTTTGTGTGGAACAGGAATTCTGACAAGCTCACGGGYTCAGTTCCTGCTGAGCTGATACTGGAGGACCTGTCGTCTTTTGGGAACAGGTTTTAGTGCACATCATAAATTTACACAGCAGCGTTACAATATTGATTTCTCTCATGATCATCAGCTAACACCATGTTTTACAGGCGGTGCGATGTGATTGTAGAGGTTTGCCATCCACAGATCGTGAGAGAATTTGGAGCCCGTTTTCTGTCCCAATGTAATTTTATGGTGAGATAATCTTCTGTTCAAGGATTTTGGTAGTTTGACGAAACAACTAATTTATTAGCTGAGGAAATTTTAAAGGGGCAATGTCATGTAAAATCAACTTTTTTTTAGTTTTATGTCATGTTATGTTATCCTCTCATGAAAAACATGCCCAGAGTCTTATTTGACTCATTCATGCGTGTTTGAGTAATCCTGTAGTGTCCTGAGGCAGCAGGCAGGGGAGCAAAAACAACTGGTTGGGACTAGAACCGCMTTTTGGGATCATCTCCTCCTCTGGGCTGTGTCTCCAAGCCGAGCTTCTTCATCACAGAGCACACACCTGCCCGGCCCGTGCTGAAATGGGCGGGACAGAAGCAGGAGGAGGTTCTTAAAGAGACAGAGGCCAATTTCAAGGTGTTTAGAAACAGATATGATGAGAACTCAAGTTTATTTTCTATTTAAACATAYAAACAACATTTTAATAACAACTAAAGGTGACATAGATATTTTATTATGGTATAGAATTTAAATATATGCCTGAGAAACACATAATATTGCCACTTTAAGCTGTACCAGACAWTAAAAAAGATGGATATATTAGCTTCTCTAATAAGTTTGAACTCTTCAAAGTTGGACAGAATGATCAGAAAATAGTTGGAAAAATTATTTTGGTTTACATTTGGAGTAATGTTTGGATTTGGTCTCTGCAGATACGTTTGTTTGTAAAAACACATTTGGTACATCCTTYCAGACATCTGTGCACCTGTATTTTCCATAAGTCTCACACATCTCCCCAATCCTTTAAAAWCTTCACTGGCTACCTGTTCATTATCGAATCAAGTTCAAAATCGTGGTCCTCACTTTCAGAGCTCTCAATGGCCAGTCGCCTGACTACATTAAAAGTCTCGTCTCCCCTCACAACCCCAAACGCAGCCTACGSTCACAGGATCAACATCTCCTAATGGTTCCCCACACACGTCTCAAGACCCGTGGTGACCGAGCCTTCTCCTCCATGGCCCCCAGGCTCTGGAATGAACTTCCTATCYATCTGCGCACGCTTGAAAGCATTGATTCATTCAAGAAATATCTGAAAACACACCTCTTTAAACAAGCTTTTAACTAATCAATTTCAGCATTTTTCTGCAGCCTGACCTTTTAGTGTCTGTTTCACCAAACCCTACCTACCGATCGTACAATTCATCATATTAATATATGTCAAACAGCCAGTATTTTCATCCAAAATCATTTCAATTTATCAAAAATGTATTTTTCTAAAATGTACCAACACTCCACAACCGGAGACCTGCATCCAAATTAATTTCTGATTTCAAAATCCTTCATCTTAATATGATAATATTTTACTCTGCCCTCCGCATTTTTGTCAAGGTATTATTTACTTGTTTTATTTTTCGGATTGCACAGTCTTAATCCTTTGATGGTTGTACAACTTTTATACCTTTTTGTTCCAAATTTTTGTATAGCCTGTTCTGATTGTATACAGTATATTTTGATTTGCCTCTGATTGTACAGCAACTTGTGAATCTATTTCTGTGATATGTAAATAAAACTTTACTTTACTATTTAGTTTATGTGCATGCATCTGTGGCTAAAACTAATATTTTATTGTTCTTTCTCCTTCAGGTGGGCTCACCCTCTGCCCTTTCTGACTCTGATCTGAATCAAAAGCTGCGTCAGGCATCTGTGCAGTATGGTAGGACACTTTATGTCCCCAGTGGTGCATTATGGGGAGGCCAGGACATCCAGAGGCTGAATRACAGTGGGACGTTGAAGGTATCACAAAGAGACAAACACAGTTAGCTGCTCTTTCAAAAATGAGAATAAAACCCCTTCATTCTGTCTAACTTTGTCATCTTGGGTCAAAATGTTTTGAGACCTCAGGGGTCACTTCTACATGAACAATGCAGCTGAGTGTTTGTTAAAATTCTTCTTTTCAGGCTCTGTTTATAAGAATGTCTAAGCATCCATCCTGCTTCCGACTTAAAGGAGACGCCCTTGCTGGCTGGGAGGAAGGAGAAGGCAGGCRGGTTTTGTTCAGAGGCTCGGTGGCAGAGCTGTGCCCACTCGCCCCCAACAACGTCAACACCATGGCRGCGGCGGCGGTGGCAGCAGGAACCCTCGGCTTCGCCGGTGTTCAGGGAGAGATCGTGTCGGAAACAGAGTGAGTCTTCCATTTCGAATCAGAACTCATGCAGGCGTTTTGTTTTCTGTTGATTTGATCCAGGTCTGAAATCCCTCCAGGTTGAAGGACTATCATGTGGTGGAGGTGCAGGTGACTGGGTCTGATGGGTTCTCYGTGCACACAGTCAGGAGGAATCCAGCCGGACTGGGAGCCGTAACTGGAAGTGCAACTTACCAGTCCTTCTGGAACAGTTTGCTCAGTGAGTCATTTCACCTAAATACAGGTGCATCTTTATCACTACTTAACATGCTTTGTCCTGTGTTGCACAAAACACAAAACATTTTTACTAGAATCTAATTCCAACTTATTGCTCCTYAAAGTTTGCAAAGGTCATGGAGGCAGACTTTACTTGTGCTGAAGAGGATGAGGAGGTTTACTTTCAGCATGGGTCGTAGATCCCCGTCCAAATTCCACATAAATTAAATGGATCATATTGGACATGCTGTATGGACGGTGGTGTTCTGGAGTCTCCTCAAACCCTGCGACCTTCGTGTTTCAATAAAATGGATACACACAACGAAAGAAGAGTCAGACATCATTTGTAAAATACTATCAGGTGTGTATATATATATACA